AGTTGCATTTTCTCATGTAAAGTTGTATTTCCTCATGTAAAGTTGCATTTCCTCATGTAAAGTTGCATTTTCTCATGTAAAGATGCATTCCCTCATGTAAAGTTGCATTTCCTCATGAATTTTTCTTATTTTAATTAATCCATACAATATGTTCACTTTCATTTGTTATAACTAAAGGAATACAGATGAACCATACATTCCCGGACCCCCAGTGGCACAGCGGTATATCTGCGGACTTACAACGCTAGAATCCGGGTTTCGATACCCGTGGTGGGCAGAGCAAAGATAGCCCATTGTGTAGCATTGTGCTTAATTACTAACAAACAAACATACATTCCCGATCGAGAAAGCCAATTAAAAAGACGAAATTCCTCAAGCTAAGTTCAATTCCTTGGGAATGCGGGAACGTAATATTTCGATCTCTGTAAAGCAATTTTCATTAAACGTAATGTTATACAGTAGAGATACTCATCAACACAATAAGAGTAGTTCTCTTTTATGCTGACGTAAAGCCTCAAATGCCGATCTCTTAACATTGACTATTAACATGCTTTTTAACGCAACAAAACTGTGCATCCTGCCCTAGCAATTATCAAGGCACGTGCTACCGCCGCACGTAGCTTACACCAAGCATATGGCCTGAGCTCCCACTCGCTTGTTATTATTATTTTTTTTGCAGATATGGTTTTGTTCTTCTGCCACCGAAGGTTAATCAGAATTTGACGTTGATACTATACACGCCCGTGAGGGAGGGAGAGCCACATGCCCTTCACTTGTTACGGCAGAGAGGAGGTAGAATACTGGCGGGCACGAGCTGTGTGGTTGCGTTATAACCCGTCATGACCCATTTACGAAATCACAATAAAATCTCTATACCAACCACATCAATATCTCCTTACCTCCCAACTATCTCCCCCCTTTCAGCCTATGCCGTAGACCAAAGGCGCCATCGAACACGAGGCCCTGGTGAGTTGAGGCGCACCAGAGCTGAATAGACACGACAGTGTTAAAATATAATATAGACACTTTCAACTTGTTGTTCTATATCTAGCGTGTAATATATCCTTGTTTCTTTCAGTACTAAGAAGGCTACAGTAGGAACAGTGCAGCGGACTTGGGGCTGCGTGCTTAGAGTAATAGAGTCCTGCGCCGATCGACATCTCTGTACCTCGAGGGAAGGCGAAAGACTTGTTCTGTTTGTTGATCATTTATTTTAAGATACCGTATTCACTCTCTTATTGTATCGGAAGCCTGTAGATTTACTGCTGGCTTGTAAATAGGTAGGTTGTAATTTAGAGGTTGGTGGTAACATTAAAATTGACGTAAGTATTTTAATTATAAAAATAACAATCTTAATCATATTATTTCAATTGATTCTGTAACAATAGAGACAGTGTGCGTTAACGTTGAATTATAACTTTCAAAACATTTTGTAGAATTCTCGTTCAACTCTCGATAAATTGAAGACTTTGAATTGATGATATTACGTCCAAAGGAATGGTGAAAAAGACTCTTTTTCTTATTATATCTCACGCTGAATCGCAGAACGATCGGCACCCAAACAGGGAATACAGAGTTAGTCTTACCAGAATGCTGTTAACGACTTCATTTGATGAAAAACGTTTAATCTTAAAAAGTTCTGATACATTTTGCTTTCCTAAAGAATAATCTATATAGTTATTCTTAACTGTATGCATCTATGTATGTTTGCTTGGTTTTTCATCCATAACTTTTTGACAAAATCACTCGAAATCTTATGTGTATAAACTTCGAAACAAACTTTCGAAAGAATCGGAAATAGGAGATCAAGGTTGTAGTTTTTGGTTTCGATTTAAATAAATTAATGAAAGCATGTAAGAATCTAAATAAAGCGTCGGAAGGGGCCTTCTCAAAAGTTATCAATTTTTGATGGCATCATACTATAGCTAGAAAAACGCCAAACAATGTTAAAATGTAGTTCTGATTCATGCCGTTCCAACGCGACTTTATATTAACTGTGGTTGTCACGTGAATTACTGATTTGCGTATCAAAAATCGTTCTACTATAACGCACTCAGCCTTGTATAATATGATTTTTTTTATCACATAAACTTTTTGAGACACAACTTGAGAAGAGTAAAAATGTACTTGAATCAACGAATTTCTTTGCTTCCTAATGAGTCTTCTTCTTTAAACCGTGTTATTCTGATACTGGTAAGTTGATTTTATAAAATCCCCATGTGTAAAAATAGCCAACGTATTCAGCAAGTAGGTTAGCAGTTAGCTGTGTAATAAAATATATAAAGTTTTAAACAAGCTTTGTAATTACACCATTTAAAAGTTTTTCACTGCATGCGTATTTTGTTTTTATTCACGCTAGGTTGTCTTTTTCAAATATTTTTTTGGTTTGTTTGTTTGTAGTTATGTACGAAGCTACACAAAGGGCTGTCTGTGCTCTGCCTACTACGGGTATCGAAACCCGGCTTCTAGCGTTGGGAAGTCCGTAGACATACCGCTGTGTCACTGGGGACATATTTTGTTGGACTTCACCAACGCGTCAGAATAATTGGAAGTTAATTATTTTATGATCTCTCTCTTTTTTTCATCGATAGCCAAGATTATGCTAGGAAGATTAAATCAATATAAATACCATTTTAAAGTTATTGTTAAATGTTCTACAAAATCAAATTCTCTCTTGAACAGAGTAAGAGTCATTCAAAG